GAAACTCTAGTGACCCAGTGCTCGTTTTTAGGAAACAATCAAGGAAAAACACCAAGGAGTCTCAGGATATTAAAGAAGATTTGCAACGAAAAGAGCAGATCAAAGAAGCAGCCAAAAAGCGACGTGAGAAGCAGGAGGAGCTGGAAGCGAAGCAGCGGATCAGGGCCAAAATCGAGGCTGACAAGGCTGAAAGACGCGCCAAAGCAGAGAAGGAGAAGGCAGCTCGAGAGGGTCGCCCAGTAACGCCCTCTATCGCGGCGCCAGTCGCGGTGGCCCCTCCCAAGCCTTCGTCGGCATACTCAGAATCCAGGTTACGGCTGCAGACGCCTTCGGGAAATGTGATGAAGACGTTTCCGGTTGACACCACTCTGTTTGAAGTTGCTACTGCCCTAAGCCAGGAGAGCGGTTTGGAAGTTCACAGTTTCACCCAGAACTTCCCGAGGAAGGTATTCGACAACGAATACTTTGGAGAGACACTGAAAGAACTCGGTCTTGTGCCAAGCGCCAGTTTGATTGTGAATTAAGCCACGAATGCAGCATTGATGAAGCTGTTCTTGCTGAGCTAGACCAACTAGAGTTGCACCTCGATGTCATACGGGTCCCTTATCTAGATCTGAATAGTTACAGCAATCATGACCAAGCAAGAACAAGGGGAATTCAACTCATATTCAAATGGTTGGAAGCGGTGTCTACTCTGTAAAGATATAAAACTAGATCTTCTCCACCAAGTTAACTCCGGAGTACATAGCCATCAAATTACGTAAGCCGACGAACCGGCGACACCACGTGACTTGGTGCCTAATTCGAGCCTCCACGCGTTTGACGCGTCCGGTCTGCTTGATATCAAGCACCAACCCAAACTTGACGACACGGCTTGCCCAGCGCCCAATTTACTTAAACTATTCTTCGACCGCTCGACTGGACGCTGGCTTCTCACATGTACCCCCAAAGTCTTTCATGATGCCAGCGTAAGTCCATATGTCCGCCTTGTCAACAAAGCACGTCTAACAATCCAACCATTTATTAGCCATGGGGACCAACACAGGTCCTATTCAGCAGCCGTAAATGCAGCGAACCCTTTTGAACCACCAGTACAGCGCATAAATGTCTACACAGCGCAGGAAATCGCGACGCTGCAAAGCCGGTTGGACAAACGGCTTGGGCCAGAATTTCTATCCTCGCGGGCGGGGCCTGGCGGACAACGAGTACATTATTTATCGGCTGACAAATGTATAAGTCTTGCGAATGAAGTTTTTGGCTTCAATGGATGGTCAAGTTCGATCCAGAATATTAATATTGATTTTGTGAGTGGATGCCGCCCAGGGGAATAGGATCTCTCCGGTGCCTTTGAATCAATGGCTAAGTAGGGTCGGAGGATTTTAGGTTAAAGAAGATCCGAACACTGGCAAGATCTCATTAGGACTGTCAGTAACTGTAAGGGTGACGCTGAGGGACGGAACATATCATGAGGTTGGTTGGCTTGTCTGCCTCGTGTGCACTGCTCGCGCTGACGGGTTTACCCTAGGATATTGGCTATGGTCACATTGAAAACTCCAAGGGGAAAGCCGCTGCGTTTGAAAAGGCCAAAAAGGAGGGGACAACAGATGCGTTGAAGCGTGCCCTAAGGATGTTCGGAAACGTCCTCGGCAACTGCATATACGACAGGGACTACCTCTCGAAAGTGACCAAGGTCAAAGCCGTTCCAGTAAGAGGCGACCGCCCAAACCATTCATTTATTTAACTACTAACATTGGCAATAGGCGAGGTGGGACGTCGGCGAGTTACACCGCCATACGGATTTTGTACCTATTAAGGAGGAACTTGTCACGGCTGCGAATGCACCCAGAAACGATGCACCTGCAGTGATTCAAGATGTTGCTGAAGGCATACTTGAACTCCCAAGCAAGCTGTCAAACGAACCCGACACTGAAATTGATTTCGGCAGTAAGCGCTTACATCGCGGTTGCTACTAATTTCGCTTTTCCTAACTATGGTGTAGGCGATGCATTTGATGAGGCCGATTTCGGGGAACAACACCTCAGTCACCCAGATGAGATTAGCTTAGATGAGGAACCACCGCTTCCATTACAAAACCATGGAGGATCTGCTCCGAGTCGCCCAAACATTCAGAGGCATGCTGGAACTGTTAACACCCACGCACACGCGGTCCCAAATCATATGGTTACACCATCCAAACCCCCACAGCCGCCTCCCGCACCAATTGCCACTACTCGCCAATCTGGCTCGACCCTTCCCGCACCTCCTGACCGGATAACGAGACCGAATATACAAGCAAACCAATATACAACACCCAAGGCCCAAATCCCCGCTCGACCACCACAACAATCGGCCGCCAATGATTCAAAGCCCTTTGCGGGAAGAATAGCCCAGTCGAATCACGATCTACCCCCGCCTTTGCCATGCAACCAGCACAAAACCAATGCTGAACCGAGTACAGGAAATAGAGGAAGCCACTCTCCATCAAAACCGCCCTCACCCCTCGGATCACAAACTCCACAGGGCAATCCCCAAATGGAACCTGGTGTTTGGTATTCCGCCCGCGCTGCGAATATGACTGAACAAGGCAAACCTGCCCCCACGTTTGACCCTAAATGTGACAGTCCATCCATTCGAAAAACCCTTAGTATCACACACGCAAAATCGGCCCCGGTTTCTCGAAAAACCTTTCAGAACGTCGAGGCCCAAATATCTAGCCAAACACCACATAAACCGAACTCAAACAATGGGCCTCTTGCGAGCCAATCATCAACTTACGTCTCTCCTCGCATGGGCGCAGACACCGTTAGGCGGGCCCGGGCCTGGTACCTTCGTAAGTCCTGCTCGACCGCCAATGACTAGTTCATATCGACCGCCAACACGAAGGAGCATGACAGTAAACAATAATAACCAGAGCAATGACTCTAACAATAATCCAACCACATCGAGCTCAACAATGGGTGCAGTTCAGAATATAAATGGCAAAAGGCCACCTCTTTCAGAAGTGACAAATATGCCATCCAACCCAACCAGCAATGAAGCTGTGAAGAAACCTAAAATTGATAGCATTGTCGATTCTGTCGCTGCTTCAAGAAACGAGCAGTCCAAAGCATGACCGGAGACAATATAAAGATGCAATTGATCCTAATGTCACAAATCTCGAACCCCATTTTATTCTTTTTTGGTAAATTTGGGCGGTCTCAATGTCGTTTAGCCTGCGACACGGCATGTTTGTAGGCACAGTTTGCTCCCTAGCCCTGATCCAAATTGATGTCTTTGCTTGCATTAGCTTAACTAGAAGGACCAGAAAGGATGGGCGTTTTGAGTCAAGTCGGTAGCATAGGATCGGCATGATGTATTCTTGAAGGTTAACTATTTGTTGAAACAGAAATATGAATAACCAAGTATCAAACCACTCATATGTATTGCAAAGTTTTCAAGATGAATGGCTGATTTTTAAATCACAAGTGCCTGATAGCAAAAAGATTCTGCATTGGCGACAACTAGCTAAACTACTTAATTTGGGGTGCTGGGGCAATCTGGGCTTTTTTAATTTTATGGGTTTTTAAGGAAGAATGAAAGCAGTTTGGGGAAAACAAGCAAATATTAAGCATACCGGGGGGGGGGGGGGGGGGGGGGTTAATTAAAAAGAAAAAGTTTTCGGGGGGGAACGGGGGGAGGGGGTTTTTTAAAAACCCCCCAATGGCCGGGGGGAAAAAAGGGGGAAAAAAAAAAAAAAACCAAAACGCGCCCTTTGGAACTTTCCGGGGGATTGTCCCCCAGGCTTCAAAAATTCCAAATTAAAATATTCCTTCCAAAAGAAAAACACACCATTGGGCCCTTGGGGGGGGACCCCCGCCTTTATTCCCTTTTGGCCCAAGTTTGGGGAAAATGAAGCATTAGTGGACAATTGTGTGAATGCAGCAAGCTACTTGCCGTCGATATCCCTTTAACGGTGTCAAGTACTTGATTCCAGGATATATAATCTCGATAGCCACGGTTACAGTTTCGAGATCCTAGCATGGAGGGTAAGGGAAAGTCAACCTATAACGAGCTGTGCAGGGCTCAGTCAGAAAGGAAAAATGTCGATCATAGCGTCAGATTTTGAGCAAATCAAAACTAGCATTGATAGAACCTGTGAAGGATATGAAACTCCGAAGAGATCAAACCACATCATCAGAGATACCCGAGAAATATAGTCGGCGGGAATGCAAGTACTCCATGAAACTTCGTGGGCAAATTGTGAACACGAAAAGCAACTAGTCTGGTCAATGAGCCCATCTAGACGCCATCAAATCATTTCCGCGAGTATTCGGTTTATTGTCGCGCTGAGAACCCCGTTGAAATGTTTCACCGCTGTTGAGAACGTTTTTACCGAAAGTTCCTTGCTGCGGTGCGCTAGGAGCAGGAGCCCACATGGAATCAGCAAGACCACCTGGCTTACTGCCGGCCTGTTTTACTGGCGATAGGTTTTCGTTGCCTCGTCTTGAAAAAAATGGGTTGTTCGGTGTGCATGTCGCAAGTCTGGTTTGGGGCGTTTCCAATGGAGGGTTATTCTCGTTTCCGACTCTAACAGAATCAATTCTCTGACGAACCTGATAACTATCCCTAAGAGGAAATGAGTCGGTTCTGGCCGCATTAGTGCTAGTGGGTGGTGTAGCTGTATGCACAGGGACTTGAAGTTGCGGGCGTTCGTTAGTCAAAGGCATATTCGATAATTGCCCGGCATATTGCATAGCAGCTGCGGTTTGCGGAAGATAAGGCGTTTCCCGCATTTTTAGTTGAGATCCATATCGAGGCTGCGAAGCTGAGGTCCTAGTGGTGCTCGGCTGAGATGGTTTCGCATTTTCAGCCACAAATGTGTCCTCCATAGGAATATCATCCTTGTCGGGTGTGTCCAAGTTTCGTCGATGTGGCCACGGAACGTTTGCATCCAAATGGGCCCTTCGTGGTCTGCGATTACCTTGAGCAAAGGCTGGAGGAATTATGGGATCAGACTTGCCCTCGCGGCCTGGAAGTAAATGATTACCAATGATGCTAGTTTCATCATTAGACATAGGAAATGTCGATGTTCGAACAGCATCGTCAACTCGGCTGGTTTTCAATTCCCTTGTCGGCTCAAGCGCAGTTTGGCGAGCTTGCATGCCTATTTGCGCTGAAGGAGCCTCTCTTTGTACTGGGGCCTTCTCATCTGGCAAAGGGAGGGCTCTTGCCGGCGCAGTGAAGGGCTTCTTAAACATCTCTCTTGGCGCTGGTATATCCGAAGGAGCATCTCCAATAGGCCTGGTTGATTTAACGAAGATAATCTCCTCGAGCTCTTTTTTCCGCAACTTTAGGACGTTTATAACAGAAACAGGTAACATTCCAGTTGACAGGGTCTGCTCCAGTTCCGCCAACTCTTGCTTTGCTGTAGAGAGTTCATTCTCTCCTTGATTTTCCACTGCAGACGATCGTGGGACAACACTCGCATTCTCCTGTTCTGCGGCGATCCGATCCTTACGATTCATATCGATGGTTGAAGGTTGAGGGCTGGTGGCAGGTTCGGGTTCATCATTGACCACGGTCGGAGATTCAGTACCTGGGAGAAGTATCGACTCATCATCATCATCACTGTCACTGTCATATGTGGCTGGTTCGCGGTATTTCATGGGAGATCTAGGTTGAGGCAAGCTGCTGCTAAATCCCTTATCGACCTTTTGTTTTAGAGAGTCAGTCTGGTTCCCATATCTGGCAGAAGGACTCCCAAATACTTCTAAGGCTTTCAAAATTGGTCGCTCCGGTGTTGGGCTCTTAAGAGACCCCCGAACAAGCTTTTCCTCCGCCGCTTCTAGATTCTCTGCTTCAGAGGATTCATCTCCCTCGATATCCATAGCCATGTCTGAGGTATCGGCATCATCGCAGGACTCGACACCGCCTAGACCGGAGCGAGTTTGCTCAGACCTAGTATCATCATTAACCAAAATATTATCCGACTGATCGGACACTATATTTGGCTTCGGAGTATGTGTAGTCTGAAGTCCCAAAACAGCTGCCATAAATGAGGCTGAATCTGCCAGGACAGGGGCATTGAGTGTATTTCTCAAGGAGCCGTTAGCTACGGTGGGAGAACACAAAGGAAATATATTTTACTCACGAAAGAGTTGTGACGGGAATGCGGTGCCTCATAGTAACCGGGCGCATTGGACGCCCAGCGCCACGTCCCTTTGCTCCTCCTCGCCTTGGAGGTGACTGAGGGTTGTTGATATTTCTTGCAGGATCTAATGGACGGCCAGAGATGGGAGGTATGATTGCCGCCTTGCTCCGTTGCTTCGCGGCCACAGCCAACCTTGCATAGACTAGCGTTAACAAGGCGATAACGAAGATCAAGCAGCAAGCGGCATCTACATACGACTTTTGAACCATTGGTTGTTGACGTCCACGAGCTCCCATTACGCCGCCTCCTCGACCAGCACCACCGGGAGCTCCGAGTGCTCGTCTGCCGCGAGGATGAACTGAGGTATCTGGTTCGGTATCGTACTTTTGCCCACCCTTATTCTTGATCGCCTGTATCAGGTTGTACCTATGAGACTGTCCTTCCATAATCGGAGCCAGGTCTTCACCTTCACCTTGGCCCTCGATGGTTTTCCAGGCGTCTATTTGAGATATTAACAAAACAGTTTTTTGCTAGCAAGTGCATCGGTCTCTTACTCTTCCAAGCATCTAGCTTATCTTTATTCTCTTCAGCCAGACGCTGACTCTGGGTTCCTTCTTGATTGGAAGCTCTGAAAGCCTCCAAATGGCGTAAAGAAAGCCTTTGCTTTGATCCTTCGTCTCGCGTCGAAAGGTAATCGCGTCTAGCTAGACCAAGGTCCTCCTAAAGCGACGATAGGTAAGAAAATGTAGGCTCATAGATGCTGGTGCATTCACATACCATTTGGAGTATTTGAAGGCGGGAAACCCGCTCATAATCATCGGAGTCATTCATATTGGAGCCGCTGGAGTTTTCAATTATGGGATAGGAGATCTAATACACTTCATCAGTCAAATTTACTTGTTTGTTGCGATTTTCAAACAAGTTCGAACGGCAGTCAAGAAACCAACTTTGGATAATATTGGTAATCCCTTGCCTGTTATCAGAGGCTGGGAATCTGAGGTTCCTTGTGCTGAGGAACAGATGGGCTGTGAGACGAAAGTTGGAGAGTGAAAGTAGGGACGGAAATCTCAATGAATGAGGCGAAGTGAAAGGTAAGACGAAAGAAGAGTGAAAGTAGAGACGGAAATCTCAACAGATGAAGCGAAATTGAAAGGTGAGACGAAACAGTGACTGTAGGAATGGAAATGAGCAGATGGCCACAACAATCCAAGATAGTCAATGGTTGCCAAATTCACAGTAGAGAGACTGGTTCTCCAGCAAGAGAAAGGATTACATTAGAAAAAGAGAGAATACTGGCTGAACAGGATAGCGGAGGAACTGGGAAGGAGAATAGAGAAGGATCAAAGGTTCTCAGGAAGAGGATGTTCTAGGAGCATGAAGAGGAAGAGTGGTGAGGAGGGAAGAAAGAGAAGAGGAGGGGAAGAGAACGACAACAGTTGATATAAACGTCAACAGGTCAAAACAGTGGTGGGAATAGCTGCACACGACGCGACTCAACCGCGGGCCAGCAACCGCCGCGCCCTGGTTTTCCGGCCCATGATATCACTTTGAACTGCCACAGAATTTTCACGGCTTGCAGACATAGAAAGCGAGAAAGAATATGCAGGAATAAACAAAGCCATTGCTATGCAAGGGCCCTTAGCCTAACCTGCGGCCTACCGAAACACAGGCGCAAAGAAATAGAGCCCGTCTTTCCGGAAATTGACTTAATATGTATAACAGCATATACGAGTTGGAATCTAGAAAATCGCAATAGGAAATAAGGAATCCTCAAAACACGCAAAAGGTTAACTGGAATCAAGTATATTGCGCTTAGTAGACTTGGGCTATATACTTTCCAGCGCCTGGCTTGCGGGAACTTCAGACGGTGCTCTAGGGTTGAAAGATACGTCTCCATGAAGACAAGTACCGAAAAGCAAGTAGGAAATAGAATATGGATTTTGTACCATATTCCAACTCGGGTTGCCGTATAAATGCGGGTGGCAACGCGAACAGTGACTCCCGGCTAAATGCCAGAGAGCAGACGCTCGTTTAAAGCTTTTGGAGCTCACAAAATAAAAGACTCAGCAAATAAATGTCTATATATCTAATAAAACATGAACGAAAAGTTGAATATTCACAAAGTCAGCTTGTTAGCAGGTCATGGGTCCACCCTCTTCTATTAAGGCCAAGTATATTAGCGTGCGACCTTGAGATTAAGAGAAGAGAGAACCCGCAAGAAAAAGTGCGTCTGAAGGGAGGGGGGAATCGACTTACGTCTAATTATTTTAACCATTGCTTGCAAAACGCTGATGCACAAGACAGAAACTCCAAAGACAATGCAAAGTACCGCTGGAATTTTTGCTTTCCAGCTTTGTGCGCTAAGCTTGATGAAACAAAGAGGAGGGAGAATGTACGCTAATACACAAGCACTCGTTGCTCCAATAAGCTCTAGGACAGAGCCAAGGTCGCAAGTTATCAAGGCCAATACCACGGATGTAACGACCAGTGAGGTGGTGAAGATGAGATGACGGCTCACGTTATATGGCTCATCAGGAAAGTAGAAGGTTGTCATAACCGACCTACAAACAAATGCTTCAAGTGGGAGAGTCGCTAGCATATTAAGGCCAAAGCACCTATAAAAGCCAAATTAGCAAAAACATGTCAATAGCCAGTAGGGCTGAAGCTACTCACAGTCTTGCAATATTGACAAGAATGTTGTCAGCTGGAAAATTGTTTAATACATTGCCTTTCGTCTTGGACCCGAAGGTGAGGAAACCGGCAAATGCCATAATCAGACACATGACCATCGAGATTCCTGTCGAATAGTGGGTTACCAGTGCAAAGCGATCGAGAGTAGGCTTCTTCAAAGAGCCGTATATCAAAAGACTGTTGTGATCTAAAATTCGGTAAGGATAATCCAACATCGGGTGGGTCTTTTATTTATACATACGGCAAACGAAAGCTAGCGATATGTTTAGCATTGTTGGCGCTCGGGTTAAAATCTAGATCAGACTTACCAAAAGAGATGACTCCAACAGCTTGGAAAAAGCCTGAGTTGACAAAAAGCGACCCTTTGATAGGACCCTTGAGATCGGGTTCTAATCGAACTCCTTGGGTAATGACTGCAACGACGATGACGAGCATACTTATCAAGGCAAACGCCGACGCTTTGGCGAGCTATGTTGGTTAGCCGATGAGTGATGAACTAGTGGCGTAGTCCGTACCTTTGCAATATCCCGATACAAGGATAACGGGTAAGATATCCCGAGAACGAAAAGAACGATAACAGCGCGTCGATCTGTCAGAAGCCATAGGAATGGTAATTCTTTCAACTTTGGAAAAAGTGCGGCCAAGACATGAGGGATTGTGTCTCCAACAATGATACAAAAGGCGATCATTCCCCCAAACGCGAACGCCCATTGCGCTATAGAGATAGCTATCAATCCGGGTCGCCCAAAGCAGAATTCAACAGTTGATTGAAAAGAGTCGGCTCCGCTGAGCTTCGAATTAACAACAATCAGGCGAATTGTCCAGTCGACCGTGCATGTCAAGGCAACCAAGAGAATACAACCCATTAGCATTCCAGCTTGGCGGAATGCATACGGTTGTCCAATAATCCCCGCGCCTATAATGCTGTTTGCCATGTTCATGAATGCGTTTCGTAAGTTGCTCTTCGGCCGGGCACTCTCGAGGTGCTCTTCGGGAAGGAAGTCTGAGTCCGCGGTCGCAAGGGTAACGCTGGGTGCTTCGATGTCTGTGAGGAGCGGGGCCATTTGCCCAGTGCTACTCCTTATGGAGCGTGTGTCCCCGTCGAGGTAATCCTCTTCGTTGAGCCATGACCCAGCGCGTGCATTTGATGAGGAATCTCGTCCGGGTTCCTCCTCCGTGCCATCTCCAAGGTCAAATCGAACACGGTTCGGAGTACGGGGAGTACGGGGTTGCCCATTGCTTAGGGTAGAGAGAGCGAGCGCTGAATGCCGTTTAGGGGCGGATGGACGTTGGGGTTGGGAAGGCTCCAGGTGGTCGATTAGATCGTCATCGTCGACGGAGTGAGAAAGGAGCGAGCGAGCCTCTTCCGCGTCATGCCCGTTTGCCTCAGCCTTGCGGACATCGTGTCTGTTGGTGCCTTTGGGCATCGCTACATGTATCGTTCATCCTCGCGCTGAGAGAAACTAAAACTCGCCGAGCATCGATGCCGCGACATGGCACTAATTATGGTCTCAGTTCATCCCTGTTGCTGTGGCTCGAAGGTGCCGTCACGTGCCCCCCTTTTTCGACTTCACCTCCTTCGTGGGCTTCATCGGCCTGGAGAAATAATCGCTGGTATTAGACATCGTGAGAAAAGCATTCCTCGATGTATGGATTCAACTAGCTGTCTGGATTTGCGACGCTGTTTCCCGAAACGGGATATCTGACGTTCCCTCCTGGGCGGTAGTCCTCTGGTCCTGTGCTGCTCTCTCCAAGGCCTCATCGCTAAAGAGCATCTTGAGAATCTCTCTAGTTGACCGGATGCTGGACAAACCTGGCTTTGAATACTTCTACTACCTTTTTAATAAAGCCACGCCAATTGATACGATAGGACATGGCATCAAACAATGTTCAACTACATCCAATTACACAAATATATCACAATTATCCTCTCCAGCTTAACGTATCTGGTTCTGCACAGCTCTCTTTTTCCTGCGCCTTTGCATCGCCATCCCAATCATTACATCCAGCCGCCATCCCAGATCTAGCAAACGCATGGATCTGCGTGGGCCCAACCCTATGGTTCAAGATTAGCATCAAGATATGTGATGCCCTCCACGGTGAAAGGCCAATAGACGAGTTAAATAGCCTATTAGACATGCTTTGCAGGGCGAAGGCAAGTTCAAGTCTCAAATTTAGAATCACAAAACTGATCCGAGCTAGCTATGGTCCGATCTCTGTCTATCCATGGCGCCGCAAGGACATCAAGTCAACTTTGAGACAAAGGATGTGTACCAAGCCCATATTCTGCTTCCTCTTCAACGAGACTTTGCTCTCCTGTCTCAACAGGGAACCGGAAAGCTGAGGCATTTAAATAGCCTTATTTCTAACCTCGATCCTCGTATTCAGCCACCTTCAGGTGTTCCCCTGGCCTCCATCCAGAACGTTGAGGCGTGCTTTGAATTTACTCTGTCAAGCTCCGAGATTTCGCCCTTATTGCAGGATGCCAACCAATCGAGCCTTTGTACCACTAATACTACCGCCGTTCAGTACCCTGAACGGCGCCCCATGACTGACTACATGCTCGATTGTGACATGTCTGAAATAACGTCGAATTTGAGGGAAGATTGGGTCTCACTTGACGGTGACTCCCCGTTTTCCAGTCAAAGCTCAATTTCAAGTTCCAGCTCCATAGGCTCGAACAGAGCGGCTTACTCAAATACATCCAACGCCAATCCTCCTGGTAAAATGGTCCAGCACTACGTTTCCTTACTAGATTCTGGACTTCGCAGTTTTCTCTGCCATCAATTCTTTCAACCAGAATCACACGTTGGACGTGATCTTCAGACGCAAATGGGTATCCTGCCTAGTCTCGCATCCCACGCATTGAACGCAAACTATAACCGTGTAAGCTACCAGATATACAAACGCTACTTTAATAAGCATCGTACTGTCTAACTTTCAAAAGGCTATATCGCAACGGGCAACTTTTATTCCGGTGATTGCTAGGGGAATACATTCCCTTCTTTCATCCACTCGATCGCCAGTGCTCAAGTCAAAACTAGATAATCTGAAGCACATATACTGGAAGACGTACGGCCCTCAGAACACAGTTCCAACAGGAGAAGCAACGGACGATCCAAATACTCGGACAATCCTGAAATGCCTTCTTTGGACGACGATGCAGCACGGACTACATTGTTCGCACCCAGCATCTAAACTTAGCCCATTGACAACCGACCAAGAAGTTTCACAAACAGCTCCGGCAAAGGCAGATCAGCCCGTCTCTGATCCCCAAATTAGAATCTCCGCATCTGCTCAACCGCTTGGTCTCACCGATAATATTTCCCATCTTGAATGCCTCTTCGACACTGAAGCAGCGGTCGAGGAGGACTACTTCATAGACCCATTTGATAATCTTGAAACCGACCAGTTTTTCGACGAACTGCTCGAGATTAACCAGCCATCGTCGCCAATGCTCGATGATAACGCTTCCGACAAGACTGCAGAATTCATTGACCGCTCCCCGCAGATTCTGGCAGAATTTACAGATTCAGACCCCATTTTGGGCGAAGAGGATGACGATTATGATGATTTGATGGACATAGATATAGATATAGACAGCTGCATAGCCATAGACAGCACGTCTAGCAGCAACATTGCCTGCTTGACTAGGTGCATTGATAATGAAGAGATGCTCTTTTAACTCAATAAACCCCAAAAACACCAGCCGAGCATTGCCTTGTTCTTTGATTGGGCTAAAATTCTCATGTTGTTAGTGGGCAGTTTGCGTGCAAATAGCAACATGTGATCTACTAGATTTGGAATCACCGCCAGACAAACGTGTACTTTTGATCGCAGAAAAGAGCTCATGAAAGATTTTTTTTTTCTCTAATAATACAATGAGCTTGAAAGCATCCCAGGGCTTCTAGTCTCCTTGCCTTCCCTCTACCCTTTCCATGACTACAGCTAAGGAATTAAGCCCCCTTTCGCGTAAGCTCCTTTCACAAAAGTCATTGCAACGTGCATGCGAAGGACAAGGAGTACCCGAAGCAACAGGAGGTTGAAGAGAAGAAAAAAAAAGCCCAGCTGATGCTCAACAAACGAATTAGAAACAATGTAATCATACAGCTGAAGAACCCTGCTGGCCAGCATTTGGAATCTGCGGAATTCATCGAGAAAAGAACCAGGTATTAAAACATGTACGTGCAGCCCCGTTGCAGTGAGAACATGAAAAGTCTATGCTTGACTAGTTCGTCGCAGTCGCGATGTTTGGATTTCTGTTACCGCTTCGTCCGCCATCGACTCGGGTTCGAAATCAAAATGGTAACTGAGTCGACCACACAAACTCCGTTCGCCCCCTCAAGACCCCATCATTGTTGCCGCTTTTCATCTATTCCAGCTTACAAACTCCCTACCGTACTCTGAAACGCCTTGCTTTAAAATCTGTCCAAAGTTAAGTTAACACGTCTAGCGGCTTTGGAATCGAAGCACTAACCAACCCATGCAAGCTATGGATAATGAAAAAGTGGATTCAACTCATGTCCATATCGCAAAGCTGCTTTGTGTCTGAAGCGAGGATGCCAGGAGTGCCGTCAATATCCTTACCCTCCTTGGCCTCTTTAGAATGTCCGTTAATATAGTTGGTCGGCTCCCCCTGCAATGGCTGTCGTTCCGGAGGACTGCTAGGGGTCCAATACTGTGCTCCCACCCGATCAACAAGCTCACAGAGAATATTTGCATCAAAAGCTTCGATGAACTTGCGGTCCAAGACACGAGACTTGGGCGTCGAGTACTTGATGTATTCAGCCACGGCAGCCGCGTTAGACCATCCCTGCGCCCTTCTAAAGCATGCAATGATGCAACCAGTTCGGTGCTAAGTGGCCAGTCAGAAAATACCCTTGAGTCTTCGGCATTAGACGAAAATACCTTTCCCTTATTGCAGTGCACTAAGATAGGGTGGTTCTTGGGATTGAAAAGGATCTTGAGCACATCAAGAACGGTATTTTGAGGGGTGAAAATCTTAGGATCCTTGTTCGCAATAATGGGGATAACGTGGGAGACAATTCCGTTATCCTTGATGAACTTTCTGAACTGGCGAGAGTGCTCGAAGTCGACGAGAGTCCTGGATAACTCTTAGCCTTCATTTAACGAAATGAAGCAGTGAACCTACAGGATTGTCTTCAGATTCAGCTTCTTGATGGATTCAAAATGGTCTGGCAGAGGAAAACTGCTCCGATAGATCCCTTTGACGACTTCGGCAAAATTAGGTGGAAGACCTGGGCCGTGGGGAGTGGGCGGGCGGCTAGGGCCACTCTCAAATCCGCTGCTGATGTACTTCTTCTTGCCGTTGACTATAAACGGCCGTCAGAACCCCCGGGGTGAACTATTGGAAAGCCAGCGAACGAAAAATAGACAGTGTGCCAAAAAGGAAAAGCGATGGGGCATAAACATACCAATCTGGCCAACTCCATCATAGCCGGGTGATAGTAACTGCGGAGTATCGGCAACAGGCGAGTCCAGAAGGTCGTCCACCATCGCGTCGCACTGTGACATCTAAGTCGCCGTACCAGATGAGAAGGGGAAGAATCTGTTGATTAGGGAGCTCCCCGGGGAAGAGTATCTCAAGGAACAGGAAAGGTATGTGTCAAAACGGCCACCAACGAAAGAGAAAGGCACTGGCGGATGTCAACCTTGCGAAACACCACTCCAAGGTTGCTTTCGACGATGCAAGGAAACCGCTGCACGTCACTGATGTATAGGAGCAGGGGGCTTGAGAAGGGAAAGCAAGACAGAAAGAAGAATTCAGGAGAGACGGATTCGAGGAGTGGGAGATCGAGGGATATGCGGGAAGGTCAGGAGCGTAAAGGAAGGAAGGAGAAAGAGGTGAGAGCTTATTGTCACTCCTAGCCTGGATGAACAACCCGTGGGAGACCACCGAGCGAGATAAAAGGGTTGCCTTAAGCTGCTATGGATGTCTAGGAAGCTATTTCTCCACAGCTGATCACAACTAACCCCCGATATGACAGAAATTAAACGAGATCTCACGCGTAAGATCCATGATGAACAAAGGCACAGTGAGGCGAGACCTGAGCAGAGCAGAGGTGGTATCAAGCGAGGAACAGAAGTTCAATAACGTAAGCTGGGGGCTACGGATACCAGTTCTGTGCAGTCAACATCAGGTAGGTGCCTTGTGCTGTTTTGGGGTACATGCCCTGACATAGCTTCCAAAGTGGTTGGCGTCAGTTGGGTACAGGATTATCCGGCCCGATGCTGCGTTAGACCTGATCTGGTTTAGCGCTGCAGGTTAAGGTTGACACATCCCCGGATTATCGTAACACCGCGTGACGATCGCCAGCCTTATATCAACCGCACCTTTTGCACTTGTGAGGCCAGCGGTCATCTCCGTCAACAGTGAAGTGCTAGCACCGGGATATGGCTCCCTAACATTCTATTTGTATGTCTATGTGAATGTGATTTACTGCAGTGAATAAACAATCCCGCATCACCCATTCTTGCTACATCATCCCTCAACTTATGATGCCTCTTCCCCCAGACCAAACATTCTGATGGAGTTGTTCCATGCACTGTTATATCAGGAGTCAGCAGCATACTACAAAAAAGGGCCATACAACATACGTTTTGCAAACCTCCTCCACTGTAATTTCCTTGACGTGAGCTATCACCTGCGCTACGCGTGATATCGTGATCGGCTCATTCCTACCCTTGACCATGCATCCCTTCTGCCATCTTTCTTTTTTGAATGCTTTTGGCAATTCAGGCGCATCCTGGATGTATTTAAATGATGCGTGAGAGGGCCGGATCTCGCACTGCTCTCGTATTAGTTTTCAAGCCCACTCTTCACTTAGGAGCCCTGGAGATCATACCCAAGGCCCGTCGGTTTCGATCTGAATTCTATCAAGGGGCATTGCTTTCACAACCTCCAAGTTCTCTTCGGTCTTCAAGCTGCATCCATTGACCCCGATATCCAAACCCAAAGCGACCAGTCTCCGCATTTCGTCCACGGTGCCGGTAAAACTGTGCACCAAGCCACCTTTAGGCAGCTTAGGAAGTCTGGGCGCAAGTAGCCGTTCGAAATCCTCGCTCGCGGCACGAGAGTGCAAGAATAGAGGCATTTGCACTTCCACCGCCACGTCCAACTGTGCTTCAAAATATTTCAACTGTTGATCCTTGGGCGATAGGAATAACCGATCGTAATCGAGCCCGATTTCCCCAAAGGCAACCGCGTAGCCCGACTCTTTGGCTTCGTAAGCCAGGGCTTTTACTTCTGCCAGATACGCCTCCGGACCTTGAGGGTAGGAGTCGAAAAGTTTTGCCTGGCAAGGGTGCACGCCAACCGTGGCATAACAAAAACCAGCTAGATCGTGATATTAGCAACCCTTCTGAAAAAAGCGAATATAATCATCGTACGATAGTCTTTGGCCACTTGAATGGCATGTTTCGACTCCTCTAGATCAGAGCCTGTGACCATGAATTTCTTGCAGCCAACATTGACCGCGCGCTCGATGACGTCCTTGAGATCATCATCATGTACTTTCTTGCCGTGATATTCACCCCTGAAGACAGGATCGCCCAGATTGATGCCAATCTAAGGATTGGTCAGCACTTGCAGAGGTGAACGCTCACCCGATCGGATCTGGAGAACCTACGTCAACATATCTCAGCTGCGTTGCTGATTCTCCCATTTTTGTGAATTCTCCCATGAGGTTATTCGAGCGCGTTTCAGCGTAGGTATGCAGCCTTTTTACACAAATTTGACGTCTATCATGCTGGTAATCGAATCTTCTATGACCCTCCCGTGAGGTTGTGGAAGCTAGTTGCCCCAAAACAAAGCTACGTCGAAACAAGAAAGCAGTCTCACCCACACCTCGAGAAGCCAAATTTCGCCAGAGACCCGTTGAGATCAAAAGCTGTACCATCGGCTCTACTCTCAGGCTTGAAACGCGAGAAATCGCAAAACTGAACGGTTGCGACGAATCGGAAAAATGGATTAGTCAGGATGGGCTGGCGGTGCCAAGGCTGACCCAACCCTCCAATCCTTGTGTCCGGCGGCGCAAGAAATCAAAGAACCGACCAGGATAACTTTCAACCAATGCAATTTTCATCCTGGCACAAGAAGCAGAGCCAGCATAGTAGAGCACTGTACTCCGTATTATCAGTTTTGTCCATGATTTATGGGTGTGCATTCTGCACGCATATTGTTGCCCTCTGGAGATGGATAAAACGCATCTTGAAGGACGGTAACTAGCCAAATCAAACTCCTGTGGGATTACAACTACAAAACAAAATAGTCGGTCAATCGCGGCCTGGCACTTCCCATACCATGATACCCAAGAAATAGGACACGCGCCTTCTCCGCACTGATGAGCGGTTCTACAAGGAGCTGACAAGGATCAACCCAACCCCTCCTGATCACTCCAAGAGCCTTGGGATAATTAACTAGTTAAATAAAGTCCACGGGTCAGCATCGAAGGAGGCATGCCAAATCCACACCGACGATTTCGAACCTTCATCTTCGCGAATCAACAATAATATATAATTCCTACCAAAGTAAGTTGAAAGTACCCATGGTAACTAGATAGTCGGGGCTGATATGTACGACCCTCAAGAAAAGGGCTCTTGATCATCATGTGTGGGGCGTACGAAATTGCCATGATCAGTCGGGAGACTAAAATGCAAAATGTCGCGAGCGCACGCAAGGAGAAACCAACCATCGTCGAGCAACGCCCAAAATCCAAGTTCCTCCCCGCCCTTTTTAGTCGCCGAAAGAAGGGTTTTCAAGAGCTGCCATCCAAGAAGCTTGACGATGGGAGCAGCTTTGTTAGCAACTAAGGTAGATGTCCCGTCGTCATATTGTGGGTTGCCTCTAATCTTATGTAGGAGTAGGGAAAGCGCATAAACACGTTCCGCTAATTTGGATATTGGCTATCATTTGCGAGAAAGGCCCGAGAAATAGGGTGGTTGACCATATGCGGAGAGTGAACCTTTTTGACTTTTGATTTTTTTAATTCGAAATAATGGCTGTCATCAGTGGATGAGATGGAAGATAACCTGCTTCGTATGTAAATGCAATCAGTTTCATGCATTTGAAACCAGTGCCATGTGCGCATCGAATGCCGCGTTTCCCAGAAAAAAGATATATTCCGTCCTGTAACTGGGGATGATGGTACTTCTAAAAATGCGCCACATCCGATAGCTAGTTACTGTATCGAGTGCTGATTTTGAAACCAACCCGTCATTAACGTTGAACCAGGGCTTGACTAACAGTGACATCTCAAGACTGAGTTACGCTCTCGAATCCTATCTATTACGGCTCATTATACGGCGCACTGTAGGCCGTCAACTCATAGCATGTAGAGCCATGCACCTGGGCCCGTTATGACAGAGCCTGAGTGTTCAATAATCATTTTTTGAGCGGTGGGACGTCTTCGCGAATCCCAACTTCCGTGCTTAGGACCATCTTGTCGCACGACCAAGTTGATATCAGGAAATACCAGCCGCAGATAAGGATCAAATAACTCCATTCTCATGGATCTCAAGCGCCCGTTGAAGCCAATCGTTTTGAGAGGTGAAAAAAGGTATCATTGTTCTTGGGTATACGGGTTGATGCTAGCAGCAAAAGTGTTTGGCCTTGTCCTGTGAGGATGCAATCGATCAGTACTGCAAGTTGTGTTTAGTATTCGAGGCTGCAGGTTTCGAATATCTCTAGCTGGGTGCAAGCTTTGCTTTCCCCTTTGTTAACCACTCCGCAGTCATCTCGCTGCATTCAGGCTCTGCCATCCGGTGAATGCCAAGTGACGCACCGATCATGTTATGGGAGCACACGACCGATTTTTCCAGGTATCCTGAACAGACCAACAGCCATGGAGTGTTTTGGTAGTTGCAAGTCCATAGAGCGGTCTGAGATTTGTGAGGGCGTCCGGCGTACTTTGAAGTGATTCTCATTCCTTCGGGAGCCGAACACACTCGCTAGTTAACTAACCCGTGACGCGATCGGGCACGGACAGACAACAGTCACCCCAAAGCATCGGGAATCTTGGAATGTTCCTGATTGGCAAACGCAAACCGACCCTCAGCTCAACCGAGTGAGCGCCATTCACAGACCTTTTGTCCGTCTCAAATGCTTTCCAGTCAGTCGAGCTCGACACCACCCTGTCGTTGCTTCGAGACTCTGTTCTCCACAGGCCCATTCGGCTTTGTTTCCGCTGAGGTCGTGACCAAATTGCCTCCCTGACTAGTCGAGTTTTAGCTGGAGCTTAACAGAGCATCATGGAGCATTGTGCGATTTGCTTCGTGTTCACCGCAGCGGTTTCCTGGGATAGTTAATCTTAAATGGGCCGGTTTCCACTGGCTGTTTCCTTCTGTTCGTCTCAGCAACGCTGACAGACGAACCATTTGTGATCTCGCAGTTTCTTGAATGTTTGATTCCTTTGGAAAACCAATTCTTGTTCAGGATACGCTGTCATGTCGACTCCTAGCCGTCGAGAAATCTCTTCTCGAGAAATAGCTACACACAATTCACCCTCTGATTGCTGGATTGTCGTGGACGGCCAGGTGTGGGATGTAACTGCTTTCATCTCAAAGCACCCAGGCGGCTCTGCAAGTTCGTGGTCCAATTTCTCATTACTCTTGTCGGGATTGGCTAGCCGCGGCTGACTATTTGGCTGCGTTTGATACTTGATAGTTATCCTGAAGTATGCGGGTCGGGATGCGACCAAGTCGTACTCAGACGTTCATGCTCCGGCCATTATTCGGGACAACCTGACTCCCGACATGTTTAAGGGAATCCTCGACCAGCGCACGGTTGACGATGAATGGTTGAAGCCGCCACCAGAGATTAACCCGAAATTGGTTTTGGATCATGAGAAGCCACCCCTTTCAACTCTTATCAGTGCCCACGACTTTGAAGTGGTTGCATCGAAAACAGCGCCTCGCAAAACTTGGGCTTTTTATTCGAGTGCGGCAAACGATCTGATCACTCGCGATGCCAATAAATCATTTTTGGACCGGATTTTCATGCGACCCCGGGTTCTACGGAATGTTAGGGAAGTAGACACCCGCACCAAAATTCTTGGTTGCGATGTAGATATGCCGCTATTTGTGAGCCCTTCTGCAATGGTCAAGCTTATGCACCCGGATGGTGAACTCGCAATCGCGAGGGCTTGTGACAGCAGGAACCTGGTCCAGGGCATATCGAACAATGCATCTTATCCGATGAAGGATATCACAGCCGCAGGGCCTGGAACGGACTACTTCTTTCAGCTCTACGTGAACTGGGATCGCGCGAAATCCGAAGTGCTGCTTCGGGAATGTTCTGCGAACCCACGCATCAAGGCCATATTCATCACGGTTGATGCAGCGTGGCCAGGGAAGCGTGAAGCCGACGAGAGAGTCCGGGCAGACGAAGGGATTACGGTTCCGATGGCGGACGCCGAAACGCGAAATGATGAAAAGGGCGGCGGATTGGGCCGCGTTATGGCAGGCTGCATCGACCCCGGCCTCACCTGGGCCGACCTTGTCTGGGCACGACGCCATACTCACCTTCCACTTATTCTAAAAGGAGTGATGAGTGCCGATGATGCAATTTTGGCGATGGAGGCGGGCATGGATGGAATTTTGCTCAGCAACCACGGCGGGCGCAATCTCGACACGAGTCCTGCGTCTATCATCACGCTCCTTGAGCTGCATAAGCGTTGCCCGGAGGTCTTTGACAAGATGGAGGTGTATGTGGACAGCGGGATTCGCCGCGGGACCGACATTCTCAAATGTCTTTGTCTGGGAGCGACGGCTGTTGGAATGGGCAGAAGCGTGCTCTTTGCATCAAACTATGGACAAGAGGGGGTGGAGCATTTGCTCGATAGTAAGTCCTTACCTCGTTCTTGCTCATGTGAGATGGTCTTTTATATTGACAAAATCATGTAGTCATGAGAGACGAGCTTGAAGGTGCCATGAGGCTTGTGGGCATCACGTCTATCAACCAAGCTGTTCCTGAGCTGGTTCACACAGGCGATATTGACCATCTAGTCCCCGATTCTGCGAATCATCCATATGCTAGGAGTCTTTCTAGCCGTCGGCCTCCTTCTAAGCTGTGGAACGGAAGTCCAGTCAAAGCTAGATTGTAAACCGTTCTCGATGTTTATATACATATCTTTACACGAGTGCAACTCAAGAGCATTTGATGAGATTTCCCCTTTGAGCCTTGTGCTATCGCGTCCATGATTTGACGTCCTGGTGATTTTTTAGAGTACAGTGATGGAAATGTTAAGACCAGAAAATATTCAGCATGGCTTGGAGAGGACAGCCTGCCCGTGCCCCGTAGTCTCTATCAAGATAGAATAGAATCCAACCAATTTCTATATTTTTTAGGCCCTAGTTACGGCTCGTTTGCCCTGAGATCAGCTTTGCCCGGTGAAACCAACCCTGACGAAGTTGCCCCGGAACCGTTCGGCTTGACCGCTGGGGGATGCGTCCCGTCCTACGAGCATGGGAGGCGGGTATCATCAACCTGACGAAACCTTGGAAGCAAAAACGCAATCCGACAGGCCCATTGAGAGGCACTCGACGAGGATTATCCGGAGTCCAAAGGGGGGCCTGATGGAACCTGGAAGTTGTTCATCGCACCACCCTCCATCACTTAGCTTCGCTTTTCCCCTCACTTCTCCTCAGAAGCCGCGGCCTTTTTTGAAACAGGAATCGCCCGCTTTCTTTGCGCTTTTCTCCTCGCTTTCTTCCAAATTCTTCCAATTCTTCGTGATTCTGATTCCTTCAGTGGTTTCTGCTTCTCGTCCCTCTTGTTCGTCCAGCTCCGAGCTCGGAGACCAAGGTGCTTGGCAGTTGCGGAGAAAGCTCGGTGGGCCACAAAGCGGGTAACTAGTCGACTCGCCCAGGGATCACCGGCTGCAAGCTTGCTGTGAGTTTGTTTGGTGCTGCCCGCTGCTCCCCAACCAACGCCTCAACAGATGCGATCGAGTGCCAGTCAGCTGATTCTTAGCCGGTGGTGAAGTATATTCCAGGATTTGAAGACTCGCATCAGCAATTCTGAAGCACGCATTGGCTTTCGATAATTTCCCGCGCGGGATTCTTTTCAAATTGGAACGTGGTCTCCTCGTCTGGTTATCTAGTTTAACTACCTTGTGCGCTCGCCTTATTTCCCCGTTCTTTCTCAACAGCTTCGCTCCAACCACACCGGATTTGTCTCCCAACTGAGAATATTCCATCCAATTGCATCCGCAATGACTGCTCCGCGCTCTGCCTCCTTGCGTGCTCTACGCATCCTTTCGCAACAGCATTCCTCGGCACCGTTTCGCCGCTCCCTTCACGTCACCGGTGCTTATTCCGCCCAACTAGCCTCCGGTCCAGACGTCACATCCATCTACCGCGCCAGGAGCGTCGCGGATCTGAGAGATGAGTGCCAGAGGAGGAATATCAGGACTGCAGGCAATAAAGCTGAGGTACGTAGTAGCCCCTTTAACCGAAACTGTTCAAGAACAGCTAGCTGATGGTCGAATTTGAATTTCTAGCTTGTAGACCGCCTTGCCAACCATGACTTCCTTCAAACTAGAGCGTTTAGTATCGCCATGAAAAGAATCGACGGACCTGCGTTTGGGCAAAGGTACATTATTTCGGCACTCCGAGTGCAATTGGTGGCTTCAAAGCATGACTGACGGTCTTGGAATTCTAGTTCCGAGTCACCCGCTCGACACTTCAACACCTCCCGCGCCACCAAATCCGTCAACGATTCATCTCCAGTCGACTTTGTCGTCATGCCCAATAGTCTCGAGGCTGGCCAGGCTTCCAGCAGTGGCTTCCCTCGCATGCCAGTTCCTCCGGATGCATACGCGCACTTTGAAACCGCTGGTGCTGGTAGCGCTTCTCCGATGAAGCCGGAGATCTATAGCGTCGGCGGGTCAGATGGTAGTAGCCCAAGCCCGATGGCCGAAGTGGCTGATAATTCTGCTCTCGAAATCAACCCGTACAATCTCGCTGAGATGGTGGGCAGATCGAAACTAGCTGCCTCCTCGCCAGATGCGGCAAGAAGTCAACAAGGTGAACCTACTCTCACAGGGCTTGTGAAAGGGATGTGGAACGCCATGATGCAGGACGTACTTCCTCCCAAACAAGGTTCGAATACGCAGTCGAAATGAGACTCTGCTTTTGCCCTTTACCTGCAAACAATGTGGATTACCCAAATGTACCTTGAGTATTCGATCCAGACGAATCTTATGACATCCGAACCGTCGGTTTGACGGCACTGTCTTTTACATTGACTTGATCCGCCCTCTGTTTGTCTCGTCAGTCTTTTGAAATACTTGGATTTTTATATTCTTTTTTTTTTCTTTGGAGATATACTGTCGATACAGCGGTTTAATATGACCAATCAATCCCATGTCAAAGGGAGATTTCTTGAACACACCAGAATCGACTACACTGACAATGAAATCTCAGACCTTCACATGTAGCGACTTCATCCGATACGTCCCCTTACCTGACGGTAGCATATCAGGTTTACTGACAAGCCAGGCAGCAGGCCTTTTGATCAGAACCCGTTATGAAAATCCGAGAAGCCTTGACAAAAGCTACACCTTCAGCAGGCATTTTCCATGCTGGTTACACAAAGGTGCAACCACAGATTCTCGTGGTGATTTTATTCTCTCGAGACGTCAAATCGTATGTTTTACATGGGTTACACTTGCCACATCTGGCATCAAAAGATATGGACTGCTGTTCGGCTGGACTATATTTGCTGGAAGAAAAGGCTGCTGGGAATTATAATACGCGTTTGTTAAATCAGTTCTCTTTAGACAAATGACTGAGGAACCTAAATGCTAAGCCCATCACAGGGAAACTAGTCTGCACAGAGTTAGCACAATCCGCCAAAGGGGTCAAGTCTCCACGAGTCAACCTGATAACCACAATGGACAACTACAAAGTGACGTTTCATGAGCACCCAACCGTCTCACTTCTTCAAGTACTTGAAGCGGCTGGTGTGCGATACTGCGTGGTTGGAGATCTCGTCATTATGGCCCTCAGCGGTCCCTTGTTCCTGACTGACCTCTACCTTGCAGTTGCAGACGACGAACTGGAGTCGGCCAGGTCTGGAGTAGCCTCACATGACCGATACTTGTTATCAACAAACACTGACAACCCGGTTGAACATGTCTGATGGTATATAACTGTCTAGAGTTGGATACACTTACTCTAAAGCCGCACATCATGAAGACAATGTCTCATGGACAAACTTGCAAAAAGCCTGTGCCACGACCACTCCATCATGTTCATTTTCTACACGCGACAACCCATTCTCTGCCAAATCCGCGCCAAAAATACCCTGGCTGCGTCGCATCTCAATCATAGTTCTGATTACAAACTCATTATGCTCTGGATGGCCTTGCACAGTCAGGATCCGCTGCGGCATGTACAGCCCTTGTATCTTGCACTTCGGGGTCGAGCCTACATTGGCACACCCCATTGGTACCTCGTATGCAATATCTCTGTGCATCTGGTGCAGAGCCTGCAGAGGCAAGTTGTTAGCAAACAATAACTGCATACCATGAACGTATAAATAACTTGTTGACATACCAAGGTCTCCTTCCCGAACAGCGACCGTCCAATATCATTCAAGACAATCGGCTCCACGGCGATCTCCCACCCCTCACCACCCCGACCAACGGGCGCACCCAGCGCCCGAGCAATAATCTGATGCCCAAAACAAACCCCCAGGATCGGCTTTGTGGTCTCCTTGAAGATCTTGGCCACGTATTCTGTCAATTTGACGATCCATTCAGAGTCGGAAAATGCATCCCATTCTATGCACGTCAGTCTTCAGGCTCGAAGTTGTCATTTATCGGGTTTAGACATACTGCCTCCAGTCAACAGAATAGCGTCATACGTCTCCGGACTGGGAAAGACGGGGTTATCCGCCACGTTCATTTTTATCACTTTCAAATCAACTATATTTTCCCACTTCAGACCCTTGAGTCCTGCGATTAGGAGCCGCTCGAACATATCCCCGTACGTGCCCAGGCACTCACGCACAGGGTGTATTGGTGAGTCGCATTCGATGACGGCGATGCGCATCGTGGTGGTCATTCTGGAAGACGTGCTAGAGCCGTTGACACGAGTAGAATGGGGAACTGCGATCGAATGTTACCTATTTGACATTTCAATTCAACTTCGCGCTCACGGAATGCAGAAGCGCTGAGCCAAAAGTAGAGGCACGTTACCGAAACTTATCTTACCGGGATTTGCTACTCCCAGGCGCGAAAGCTCCTTAGCATCATTGAGACTGACAGGTTGAAGCCTACCTAGAGGCTATATACGGAGTACACATGCATTATCCACAGGGTATGAAACTATGCTGTTGGTTCGGCTAATTCAAGCCAAATTCAAACACCATGGAAGCAAGATTATAAATAAATTCATACGAAAACCTCGGAGCGAAGCTAACGCGGAGCTGAACTGCTTATGCATGCAAGCTGCTTAGACAGCTAGGGGGGGTCAATAGTTAGTTATGCAACTAACCGACGCGAAAACTCGAAACTATCTCCAAAAACCATTCCATGTTCCTTACAATTATTTCTCCGTTTGGAACGGATGGTTGAACATTCGTATATTATTCGTATATAAGATTACTCACACAGCTATTTTAACATTGACTTTGATTGCGAAGCAGCCCGCCGACTTTCAGTTTCCACCATAACCCCAGCTCCTTCATCGGCGTGCGGTCACGATGCCGAAATTCTTTCCCCTTTGCCTCTTGTGGAACGAACTCGAGCTTCTTTCCAATGGAAAACTGCTCGATATGCTCGATAACTCGATCTACTGCCAAATGACTGCACCGTGTGTACAACGTCTCCTCGTTGTCAGTGGAAACCACGGGAGGAACCACCCTATCTAAAATGTCCCCGCCGTCCAATGTCGACGTTAGCTGGTGCAGAGTCGACGAAACCTTGTCGACCTCCCCGTTATACAAAGCGAAGAATATGCAGTGGTTTCCTTTATACTCCGGTAGATGCCCAGTATGCAGGTTGATCATGAGTCCACCACGTGCGATTAGCTTCTTCCCAATAAATTTCGTGCCCGACACGATTGTGAGTTCGGGTTGCCATTGTTCCACCGCATCCCACACCTGGCGGCAGTTGACGCTGTCGACGGTGAGGTCTGGTGTGCTGAGGATATGGTTGTTTGGCATCAGGTCGTTAAAGTACGCTTTGCGGTAACGATCGTGCCCAGAGAAGCGACGTCGTATGCCATGGTATTTCGTGTAGCCCGCATCGATTATACGGCGCTTTTGAACCAACCGACGTACCTGTCCGTCGGTTGTTTCCAGAATGCAGTGGTAGCCGGGGAAAGCCTGGTCTAGACGGTACCGCAGGTACTTGTGCTGGGGACCGTCTGAGCAGAGCAAAAGCAGCCGCACGGGTTTGCGAACCTCCGCACTATCTATTGATAACGGCTTGGAAATCGGATATTTGCAGGCCGTGGCAATGGGAAGTCTCCCTCGATCAGGGTGAAAAAGAGCGTGAATAGGATCGTACTCGCCCACTAACGAACGCCAGACTGCACGCGCTACAGCTGGTGCCTGTGCAAAACCGCCAGTGTTGTTTCCGCCAGTGATAATCAGATAACCTCCACTTGCTGTGGGAATTTTCTCATGCACCCCAAGGCCCGTGGGTGTAAATGGTCGGACGCAAAACTTGCGGTTTCCACCGGGGTATAGGGTGCCACGATCTTTTGCGACTGCATATCCTTGCGGGAAGTAGATGCGTGCCACCTCTTCCAGCTCATTAAAGAGGGCCATTAGTTCGGGAGAGTCAGGTGCGGGACGACCCTCCCCGACATAACCATACCCTCCACCAAACACAAGGATATCTTCACCAGTCTCCATATCCTTGGTCACAGTAACATTGATATCTTCAACGAGGTGACCGCGGCGATGGACCTTGATTGAATGCTTCTGCTGCCGATTCAGGTTTGGAAGTTGTAGCCATACTCCAAGGACCCCGTGGATCAGGTTCTCACAGTCCGTTCCACTCAGCAGTGCATTTCCAGTCACGCCAGGGCTCACCACAAAGTGATCCGCTTCTAGAAGTCCAACTCGCGATTCTAACATGGTCACCTGGCCTAGGGAGTTATGCTTTACGCCCTCCACTTCACAGTTCCAGAGAAACTTTCCACCAAGCTCAGTAATACGGGCGATTAACCTCGCCACGAAAGGGTGGATGTTCACTGTAAACCCTTCCACAGTGAACCCTCCCGCAAGATGGTCTGACTCGGCTGCAGACGTGAAGCTGGGGTTGGAGTCAAGAAACTCCTGGAGAGAGGTGTCCTGAATGATCGCCCCAAGCTGGTGATGCAGGGCGAGGGCTGTGTCCAGAGCAACAGGCTCCACGTACATGCGGAGGATATCCTTGCGAAATTCAACCTCTTGAAATAGCTGTGGACAGCTTTCAATGTATTCATTCCAGAGCTTACCAGCTTCCATGTTGACCTCGTGGATATTGTCCCTGAAAGCCCGCGCCAACCAAGCTGGAATCTGTTCAAACGTACGCACCCAAGCACGCTCAGCGGGGGTGAAATCTTCAGGGGATTTGATGCTCCATCCGCCGTTACGTACGGTTTTTCGGAAGACTGACTGCATGTTTTCGTATATTCTGCTCCCTTTCTCGTTATAGTTGTCCGCTTCGGTACGGGTATACATACGGGCATTGCCGCCACAGGTGGTGACGCCCAAACGAGTCCAGTCCTTGCAGCCTCGAGGGTCTGGGCCCGCGTCCACGATTCTCACCCGGTAATCGCGCGCAGCTAAAAATTCTGCCGTAATAAGATTCATGATACCCGCTCCAACGAGCAGAACACTCGGCTTGCCGTCCTCGACTTTCAATTTATCTTGCTGATGGACTGTTGTCTTGACGCGTGCACGCGAGTAGAGCATTTCCGCTTCTCGAAGGATGAATTCCTCCCATGGTATCGTAGCGGTCTTAAACTCCGGGAATCCCGCGATTTGAACCACGTTGCCCTTGCAATATTCCTGCAGACGGGGAATAGCAGTGGGATCTTCCACCAGAATCGACTTGGTGATATGACTAGCTTGGCTCAACCATTGGTTCATCAAGCCAGTGGAAGCCTCTTGACCGTTGCATATCCACACGTCCACCGGCTCCGGATCGTTCAATGGTATGGACAGGTCATCGGAGCTGGGGTCGCAGAAGTGAATGAACGTCGACGAATTTGCGACAGCACGAAAGGAAGGAATTTGAGTACTAACGAGAAACCTCATATCTATGGAATATCATAAGAAATGAGTGATGTAGTCAAGGTTAAGAGAGGTGGACGGTCCGTACACGCCTGATGGTCCCTTTTATAATCCAATACGCTTCTTAGACTTAGCACCTTTGAGGAGCCTCCAGCCGTCCGTGAGAGGACATCAGTATCCTCGTCGCTCTGAAGCAAACTCATGCATAAGAACAGATAGGTGATTCATAGATCATGTGCGGGAGGTCCTCGATACGAGCGAGGCTGCCCTAGTATCGAGAGGGGTTTGTTGCCATTGCCAATGCAATGATCCAACTCTCGTAAAACAGCAGACATCTTGTGTTATGCTAATATAGGGACCTGGATTGCGGCTGCAATGGCGGAACTGCAGGTCTAATATACCCGCGTTATAAACACCTGGGCCCCACAAATAATTAAGGTTGGGCCCACTAAGCGCATTACCTTAAATTGACCAAGAGCTCCAACGAGCAAAATCTCTTCGAGATTTTTTCATCGAAATGTTATAAATGATTTCATTATATTTTACTGTGGAAGTACCAGTACAGTGAAATTTGGATCTAGAAACGTTGGAAGGCCCGTTCGACGCGTGGACAAAGGGACAAGGCTGAAAGCATCGGTGGTTGCACGAATTTTCCTTGGCCTCCAGTCTCGAAGCGCATTCATCCTTGTTAAACCTAAATGGTTCTATTTTCAAGCACGTCTCCGGAGTACTCCGTATAATTATGAGTCAAATTCTCCATCCTTTGCGTCTTAGGGAGATTATTATTGAGCTCCCTTATGTACGAAGGCAGCGGGCAGCGGGCAGGCTATACTGCCAAGGAATTATACGAAGAAATTAGTTATATGACTAATCCAAAGAGCTGCACTGACTCCTATATCAATTCGGCGATGTGGGATTTCTTGCGCCGAAAAATCTCTACTCCTAATTGCCTAGTGAAGGGCCTCCTACTTCTGTGACTGCCTCTGCTAACTTCTTCATTCTGTTGTTATTACAACGGCCTGGATTGTCGGCCCAGCTCGCATGGGCAAGCGTTGCCAGCAGTAGAGCAGCATGGCACATAGCAGTCCAAGCAATACTCAATTAGATCCTGGGACGGACGATTGGAGGGGACCTGATGATCCCGAATGTCCTTACAACTGGCCGATGTGGAAGCGCATCTACATGACCAGTATTCCAGCATTCCTCTGTGTCAACGTGTGAGCATAATCCATCATTCTCGAAACGCAGATTCTAATGATTCAACAAAGGTCCTTTGCGTCGTCCATTTATACATCTGGAGCCGACAGCATCGCACAACACTTTGATGTCTCCTACACAGTAGCTCTGCTTGGGCTTTCCCTCTTTCTTTGGGGTCTTGGCCTTGGTGCCATCATCGCCGCACCTGTCAGCGAGTATTACGGTCGCAGAATCGTGTATCTATCAACAGTTCCGATCTTCGGGTTGTTTATCCTAGGCTCAGGGTTAGCACAAAACTTCGCCACTTTGATCGTCTGTCGCACCCTCGGTGGTTTCTTTGGGAGCGCGGTGGTTTCTGTTGGTGGAGGCACAAATGCAGACCTCTGGCCTCCTGCTCTAGCGGGATTCGTTTATCCATTTTATTTCGTATCGCCTTTCCTTGGCCCAGCTCTCGGTGCGGCAGACTGTATACGCCCGATGTTTTCTCGTGCTAATCTCTCCAGGTCCTGTTATTGGCGGCTTCGTCAACGAGCAAAAGGACTTCCGCTGGCTTGAATGGGTGATTCTCTTTATGCTCGCCTTCAACTACCTCTACTCCATCCCCCAATTTGAAACCTATAAGAAAACGATCCTTCAAACACGCAACCACTCTGAGAAACAAACCAGAACACCACAAAAATTCAAAATCGCCCTGCCTTCCAGCGATGTAGTCCAGCGTATCGTCCTGAAGCCTTTCAAGATGCTTTTCGTCGAGTCGATCGTGCTTTTTATGACCATCTATATGGCGTTCAACTTCGCTGTCTTTTATAGTTTTTTTGCCGCCTTCCCATATATATTCGGCGGACAGTACGACTTTACTACCGGCCAGCAAGGTCTCACCTTCCTATCTATAGCGCTGGGCTGCGTTATCGGCTTTCTTGCTGTGGTCTACATAGATCGAAGAACATACCCAGCACTTGAGGCGCAGTATGGCGTCGGCGCAGTCCCACCCGAATATCGTCTCTATGGTGCAATGGTAGGTTGTGCTCTCAACCCAGTCAGCCTCTTCTGGTTCGGCTGGACAGCCGATAGAGGCGTGTACTGGCTGAGTCCCGTTATTGCTGCTGTGCCGTTCGCAGTGGGGAATATCATGGTGTATAGCAGCGGAGCGCTGTACATCATGAATTCGTATGGATCGTTACATGGGGCTAGTGCTCTTAGTGCCAATAGCCTTCTTCGATATGCGGCCGGAGGAGCGTTCCCGCTGTTCACGGTGCAGATGTTCTCGTCTTTGGGGATTGGGTGGGCTAGTAGTCTGCTAGGTTTTGTGTCAGTGGCGTTGGTGCCTGTGCCATGGGTGCTATATAAGTATGGGCACAGGATCAGGGCGCACAGTCAATACATTACCATCCAAAAAATCGAGGTGGTGGAGAGTTCGTTAGTGGAGGATAAGAGTGGAAGTGTGTAGGTCGGATCGTACACATTTTGTAGCATCAACGACGGCGGGCCGAATGCTTACGACATTTAGACACGACAATTCTCTTTAGATTTCAGTTGTAGTACGGAGTACCGTCAGAGAAAAAAGGTCTCTTTGCAATGGCTGACGGGAATCTGCTCAATTGTTTTGAGTTGTGGACAATTGATGCACAATGGGATACTCCTGTCTCCATGTGCAGGTGTGGCAACGTCATGCTGGGTGGGACCTGGATCGATAGTTGGCGAGCGCCTAGGTTCCAACACGGATGTAACATGAAGCGTGGAACTCATCCGGCCCCGTTTTGGCGTTTGCCAGTGAACAACGAGGCACGACCGGGTTCTTTGTGGTCGTGGCTATTCGGGACATCCGTAGCAGATCGTTAAATGGGCATCCGGTTTGATATCAAGTCCGAATCTCGAGTTTCGAATCGCATCTCAAACGTGAGGGGGTGTGGAGTTTTAGACTTCCCTTCGACGTTCCTCCCAAGAAACAGTTAACTAGGGCCACTTGGCCCAGCGAGGGTCACAGCTTTTCGCCCTGGACAAAAGACAAATCCTTGAGGGATAACGCAGGAACTATTGAGTTGAGGGGGCATGTTGCATCGGGAGAACTGGTTCTTGGAACCACTCCAGCGACTCCTATCAGCAACAGGCACGCTGTCAGCCGCTAGTCAGAGAGAGATAGTCTGATATCAAAACATCGCGCTGTTCAAGTGTTCCAATCTCCAGCTGAATGCCCTGCCTTCCGTTTCCGGAGAGGGCGCCTACGGGTTTAGCCGGATTTAATAGGGTTGGCGCCAGCTCCAAATCTGGCTAGCGTTTTGCCCAGGAACCCGCTCACTAGTCCAGGTCGGGGCTAGTTTGACCCACTCCATTCTGGTCCACTATAATACGCAGTCTTATTGGCCCGAGCTCCTTGGGCACTGGCTCCCCGCATCCGGCCAATCACATGCAGCATGGCACGGCAACCTCTTGCTTCGTTTCCCCTTTTGAAGTCGACGGGCGGCTGTTGATGGACGACGTTCAGCTTGTGCTTCTCTCTCCCTCTCCATCAATCCCAGCTGTCTCTCCTCCCTTTCTGTTTCATCCTCTATCCTTGGTATCACTCTTCCTCTCGTTCTTGGGTTCGCAATCGTCGTTGGCTGTCATCCTCGGCTTCTGTGATCGCTGTTTGCTTTCTTGTCTCTCATTGCTGCGTTGTTTAATCCTTAATATCTATTTGCTTGCTGCTCCACAAACAAGAGTGAAGATCAAAATATACTGACGAATTGCAGCAATCAGTTTCACTTGCCGCTGGGCCTTTCTCCGCTGCCTTGTTTTTTGCCCCTCAAGTGTTTCGTTTCAGGCTTCTTTTGAGTTGCGTTGATCGTATATTCGCAAGACCGCATGTTCCCCTTCCCGCTATCAAATAGTATTTAATCCGCGTCGTCGAAACTAGCAACTAATCGTCTCCTGTCTTCAATTGAGGCATGATCAGGGCATTAACGAAACTGAGATACAACCTAACCTTCTGAGATAAATGTGGACCGTGAAGTCTGCAGCTGAGTATTGATCCTGTTTGGGATCATGCATTTTTCGTCATGGCTTCTTTGTGCTGGCATTCTCTCCACGACCGTATCGGCATTTTACCCAGTTAAGTTACCACCATCGGATAACCCGAGCCTCCCGGACTCGTCCCGCCGACGGTTTTTCCCAGTCCCTCTCCCGAAAGCGCCTTCGCAAGATGAAAAGAAGCCATTGACATTAGACCTTGTGAGGTCCCGGCGCAGGGTGAGCATACTAGACCGCCTCGAACCAAACCATTTTGCTGACATTTCGGGTCGTCCCTTTAGGTTCGCCGCGATAATAAATACAGTGCCGTCATGGGATCAGACCCGACGATGGAAAATAGTGCCGCTATACATCAGGATGGCAACGATTATTCGTACTTCTCAACCGTCAAATTCGGTTCTAGGGGCCAACCAATGTGGCTACTCTTGGACACAGGAGCATCTGAGTCCTGGGTGATGTCTTCGAATTGCACTGCTGAAGCCTGCCTCCGACATAATAGCTTTGGAGTCGAGGATTCGGATACGCTCAACGTCACGCAGATAGATTGGAATGTCACTTACGGCACTGGGCGTGTGGAAGGTGTCATCGTGGAAGATAAGGTGTCGCTGGCTGATTTTGAACTGCAGCTAGCATTTGGCTCGGCATTGAACGCTTCAGACGACTTTCTCAGTTACCCAATGGATGGCATTCTCGGACTAGGGCCATCAACGGTTGCAAGCGTACCCACGCTTTTGCAGTTGATAAAGGAGAAGAAGTTGTTCAGCAAGACCATTCTTGGCATCAGCTTGCAGCGAGCTGGCGATGGCGCCACTGACGGGCAGTTGACCTTTGGCGACGTCGACAAAAGTAAATTCACGGGCGATATTATATATACGAACATAATCAAAGCAAGCAACCGATGGGAGATTCCCGCTGACGATGTAATTGTTGACGGCATACCGCTCAATTTCACGAAAAAGAGTGCTATCATTGATACAGGAACTTCCTTTCTATTGATTCCAATGAAGGATGCAGAAGCGCTGCATGCTCTGATACCAGGTTCGAAGAAGGGTGATGGCTACTTTAACATCCCCTGCGATACAGCCCTTTCGATGGAGTTCGTTTTCTATGGAGCGAAATGGACCGTATCACCCAAAGACTACGTCGGAACTCGTAATGGCGATGGGTGCAATTCATACATCTTGGGTCGTCAAGCTCTAGG